AGTGTGAACAGTGTGTGTGTGAATAGTGTGAGAAGCGTGTGTGTGAATAGTGTGAACAGTGTGTTTGTGAACAGTGTGAACAGTGTGTGTGTGAACAGTGTGAGCGACAGTGTTTGCAGACAGTTACCCAGGTCAGCAGGCTGGGCACAGTTCTTCACTCTTAATGGGCGTCTAAATTAATTCATCGAACCCCGGGTGACTCAGGGTGGAGTCGGAGGAATGATGGCTTGTGAACATTGAAGTGTGACAGAGCCTGCTGCCCGACTGGCGCTGGGGCCAGGGTCAGCGTGAGCTGCAGGTTCCCAGGGTTCGCCAGCGCCCCCTCCTTCCGGGCCTGGAGCGCAGACTCTCCCGCCGGCTGCACTGCTGGGAGGCTGAGCCAGGGGGCTGATCTTGTCTCCTTCTCTCAGTAACATACCAGGGTCCTGCTCCCCGCCCCCTCCGCCAGGGCACACAGCCCAAACACACACCACCCTGCCCCTGCACACGCCCCTGAAAGCCCCCAGCATTGTGCACCGGGTCCCGGGTGACAGCGGGGGAATATTGACGAGGCTCTGCATTCAGCTCAGTGAAATAGGTCTGGGAGGCAGAATGAGGTGTGGGGGGGTGGGGAGACGTCCCAGACTGTCCCAGCCTGTCTTACAGCGATGACCAGGTCCCCCTGTGAGACGCCAGGGCTGCAGAGAGCAGACAGGGGACTTGTGACTGGACACTGGAAACAACTCAGGGTTCCTGCACCCAACCGGAGAGTCGAGATTATTCTACCTGTGCTTCCCTTGTCCAGGCATGAGTTATGGAGGAAACTCATCCCTTTTCAGATCAGGGACCTCAGTGGGGGCGGCACTTAGCACAGACCAGGGCTGTCTGAGCCACTCTCTGGGGGCACGTACTGCCCTCTGACCTTGTCCACGCTGCTCTGTTCAGGACCCGAGCCCCATCTTCCCTGCGGCCCCAACTTGACAGCGTCTTCAGTCTGAGCTCAAGGTTAGACCCTGCTCAGCACAGGGGATCCCCGCTTCACAGCAGAGCCCTCACCGCTCAGCACAGGGGATCCCAGCAATATTTAACGACTGCAGGTCAGTTTGTGTCCCAGCTCCTGGACGGATCAGTTTCAAGCCTCAGACTTGCTGTAAATCTGCCTGAAGGGTGAGATGGGGAGTGAAAGTTGCACCAGTGAGTGCATTTGTGTCTGTAGAGGAGCACACCTGGGGCTCCTGTTGCACGAGTCGAGATCCTCTGTCTTCTTTGTTTTACAGAGGCTTGGTCGCTGAGGGCACCCAGGCAGGGGCTCTTCAGTGCTGCTGTCTAATTAAAGTCCTGCTTTCTTGCCCTGTTTCGTTTAATCTGCAGTTCCTTCACTGCTGTGTTTGGGTGACTACTCCTGCTGCATTTTAATGTCCTCCTGCCATTGCAAAATCATTAAGCTAAATAATTTAAAACGCTCTTTCTCTGGCCCCTGCTGCCATAATGTATTAGTCGAGGCCGCCTGATTAGCTCGCATTAAAAGCGCATTTCCTGCGAAAGCGCTGGTGCTGGAGGGGTGAAGGTGGTCTTGCTCACACTGCTCTAAGTGAAGCAGAAGCACCCCGGTGCTGATCAGAGGTGTAGCGCCCCTTGTCTGTGGGGCAATGCAGACCCGTGTCTCTGCTCTTTGCGGTGAAGCCTTACATGCCGAGCATTATATATACAGGAAGGAAGAGGGCAAGAGAGTAGTGGGAAGAAGAACCTGTGAAAGGGACTGGCAGAGTACAGAATGCTGGAGAACCGTCATCCAGCAAAGTCTTGTACAATGTGCTGTCGAGACCAGTTCTTGCCTGTGGCTTTGGCCTCTGCTTTATGACTCAAACAAGAAAGATCTGAATTGTCTCAGAAGTGCACTGCCACTGGTACACAGAAAGAAATGAGGAACTGAATCTCTTCAGACTTGTCAGAGACTCGTAGGGGATTGTCTTGTCCTCACTGTACGCCAACAGGAGCTTGGTTCAAGATCAGGGACTGATCGATCCGTGGCAGTATGGCACTCCCTGACCCTGTGCTGGGCTTGCATACTGTGTGGGGACGAATTTGACTTAATAATAATGCTGTACTTGACCAGATAGGTCTTCTAAAAACAGCCTCTGATCTCATCAGTGAGACCCAGGCCCACAGACACTCAGCTGTGTGTGACGGACCAGGACCAGGCTTGGTAATCACATGCCTGCTAACGCCGCCCTGAGATGCAGAGGTGAAGCGGGTTTGAGCTCTCTCTGCAGGCTGGTTCAGTCGCCAGCAGTGACATACTGAAAAAACTTGTGGCCAAATCTGTAGCAGCTCTTGTGCATGTTCTCTGTTGTGTGTTGCAGCTGTGGGAAGGACAATGAGCTCAGTGGCCACTGATGTCTTTGAGCAGCACCTGGGAGGACACCTGCTGCAGGTAAGTAGTCTTTGGCTCATGCCATCTTCATTTAATCTACATTAAATGTGCCATTTCTATTGGCTACAGTGTTTGTCCTGATCTGCACAGTTTGAACTGTGCTCTGCAGGTACTCTGGGTTCTTCTTTATCCCTTATTGCCACACATTATTAGTTGGTGGAATTTGCTTTTGGTACAGCAAAGTAACACTGATGAAGCAGACTTACAACACATTCAATATTAAAGAATACAAATTTGACATGAAAAAGACATATAAACACTGAACTAACATCTAAAAAAGAAAATTATAAAGGGGGGTTTTCAAGGGAGGCTAAATCACTGAAAGGGAAGAGTTCAACGTTTGTTTTGCAGTGGGAAAGAGGCAGGTGGTTCTAATGGGAATGGATCAGTTTAAAGTGTTTTCCCGAAGGGAACAGCTGAAAAAGATTGTTCTGTAATTTGCAATGGTCTGCGCAGCCCATCATAAGCTTTGAAGCTTCAGTTTTTATCTGGGAGATCCGTGACACTGTTCTGAATTGTGCAGTGATGTGAAAGGCGCTATACTTATGGGTTTAAATGCAGTTTTGATAGTTTGCAATATCGAGACAACAATACCAGCGTCCTTGAGTTTGACACCGCCGCCGTCCAGAACTGTGTCTCAGGGTCACTGTGGTGCTGCTGCAGTCTGTCCCCAAAACTGCTCGGTCCCGCCCAGAGGGAATCCGAAGGGAACCAAAAGAGTTCAGGCGGCAATGTAAGACTCAAGATGGCTGCTTTTCCCTAGTGCTGGAGAAATAGAAAAATGATAGAAATCAAATTAGGGCTGCAGAAATTTGTGATTCTTTCTCCGTCGTCCTCTGTCAGTAATAACTAGATAATTGCACTTTATTTCCCTCAAATTCAGACGACAGAAGCACTAATCCCAGGCACTCTCATTTGCATATTGAATGGATCGGTTTGCATAAATTACCACCACTTAAAGTGCCGTAAAAACAGCAATCATTCTCTAACGAAGTTGGCATTCTGCTATTTTTTAAAGGACCTTTTTAATGGCTTTTCTTTGTGCTCTGCGTTTTCATTGTAATCACATGTGATATTGACCACTTGCAGTTTTTCTTTGTGATTGTTTTTAAGTGCTTTTAGATAGAGGCGTGTGCATTTTAGAGATGGAGGCCAGACTGCGAAAAATCTTTGCTTTCTTGCACCCCCTAAACCCTTCTCACCTCAAGAAATGTTCTCTCTGGTCAAGCAGTGGGGTCCAGTCCACAGGGAGGAAGACCAGTCAGGAGGAGTTGAAGGACAGGAGGCACCCAAACTCTATATAAAGAATGAGCAGAGGCTCTCGCATGATCTCGCAAGATGTGTTGGAGACTAGGATAAGGAACTTTCCAGGCTCCTGAGGAATACAAAATGAACACATGACCAAAAATGCAGACCTGCTAGGAGACACTGTCGTCTATGTTTATGTTCTGTGCTCTGTGTCTGTGCTCTGTGTCTGTGCTCTGTCTGTGCTCTGTACTCGGTTTGTGCTGTGTTTGTGCTGTGTTTGTCCTTTGTCTGTGCTATGTGCTGCTTATGTGTTTTTTGCTCTGTGCTCATGGCCAGGACTTGTGCTCAAGTGGGGCTAGCAGCAGCAGCAGCGCGGACAATAACTGGCCGGATTGTGTGTCTTGTGTCCACAGTCCCTGGATGGCTTTGTGTTTGTGGTCAGTCACGATGGCCGGTTCCTCTACATCTCTGAGACAGTGTCCATCTACCTGGGCCTCTCGCAGGTGGGTACCTGTCCCCCCGGAACAGCCGCAGGAGGATGGTGAGTGGAGTAGGAGAGAATCTGGGGCTGCTGCAGTTCCCAGGAGTGGGAGCCAGGGCCGAGAGTCTCGTGGCGTGCCCTGGTCCTGCTGTCTCCAACAGACACTTCCAGGGGCCAAATTGGCAGGCCTGGTGGGGGTCCTCTGTCGTACTTGGAGGCGTCCCCTCACCCTGATGTGCTCTGTGTGTGAGTGGAGTTTTATTGGGGCTAAATGGTCGTACCTCCATTATTATCATCAGTCACAAACCATCAGAAGACAGTGTGGTGTGTGAACTCTAGACAGATATTGGAGACCAAGCTGCGCTGGAGAATTAATTAGTTAATTGAGCTGAAGATCTCGTCCAGCTGTTTCTTGAAGGTATGAGCTCCGACAATGCGGCTAGGACGATGCCCACATTTGAGCTGGATTAGGGATCAGAATGAACAGAGAAACACAAACCAAAGGACACAAGTGGAATGAAGTGGAACAGCAGTTTGAGCTCCGAACAGGAGGCCTGGAACAAGCTGCCAGCCATGTGGCTGCGGGTGGGTTTCTTATGAAACCAGCCCAAGTGTGTGGGGAGACACTCTTGGGGGCTTGACTGTTTAGGCCATTAGTTTTTGTGCGATGACTGGTGTGAGGTTAGATCAGGCCAGGGGACTGGTTGGCTCTGAAGCTGAGGGAGACTGCAGCTGACGTCCACGCTGACTTGATGGTGGACTGTGTGCTGTTCACTGGGGCGTTCTGCACAGGGGAGCTGAGCTCAACAGGGATGAACCCTCACACTAACCCCGAGTCCCACTGATGACCCCGACTCTGTGTGAGCCATGCACACACTCGTGAGACTGCACAGGGGCACACTCCTGTGGAATCACTCTTGCCGTTTCTCAGAAGATGCTGGGATTTTGATACCTGTTCCACGTCCTCTTTGCCCTTGTCGGGCTCCTGCGCTCACTCCTGCAGACAGCACCACAGTAAAAGTTCTTGTCTTTGCAAGTAGCAGTTGTGCCTTGTTTTCCTTTGTTTTGTAGTTAACTGAATTGATCCCCACCTGGTTAGTATGCTGTCCTCTCCATCTTCCTCATTTCCATTAGTCAATGCTCTTGTGTTTCTGGGGACAGCTCATAAATTTTAAATCTCTCTGCTGTTATTAATGCGGCTTTTATAAATGACTGATCGCAGGGCAGGATGTCCCATGTGGCTGGGACTCCACGATCAACATAGGGCTCCACAGCAGCACAGAGCAGAGAGGCACCAGTGTGTGATCACTACACTGGACACAGGGCTACAGTGGACACAGGGTTTCAGAAGGCACAGGGTTACAGTGGGCACAAGGTTACAGTAGGCACAGGGTTACACTTGGCACAGCGCTGCAGTGGACACAGGGCTACAGTGGACACAGAGCTACAGTAGGCACAAGGCTACAGTACGCACAGGGCTACAGTGGACACAAGGTTTCAGAAGGCACAGGGCTACAGTGGGACAGGGTTACAGTAGGCACAGGGTTACAGTGGACACAGCGCTACATTTTATGTGAGTGTTTGTTTTGTGTTTTTTTTGCAGGATCAATGTCAAAGTTTTCCTGCTAAGGTGCAAATACCAGTCCTGATGTGAATGGGTCTGTGTTCCACTCTGATGCACAAAACTGTGGGTGAGAGAGAGAGAGAGACTCTGGGTGGAGCGTGTGAACAGGGGACTGCAGCCTGGAGGGAAATGTGAAAAGCAGAAAGTTTAGGCAGAGTTTAGGTGCATCAGTGTCTGGGGGTGTCTCAGTGTCCGGCTGGTTAGGACTTTAAGGAAGGTGTTGTAATTGAGTTTTTGATTCTCCCCGTCTTGTTCCAAGAGCTCATGACTTTGACATGTTCTTCTTGAGCTGAGGTCACAGTGTCCTCCTGTGCATGTGGCTGAGTGATGGCGACTGTGTGTGTCACTGCGCAGGTGGAGCTGACCGGCAGCAGCGTGTTCGACTACATCCACCCCGCTGACCATGTGGAGATGGCCGAGAGACTGGGCATGAGGCCGCACCTCCAAGGCGGGGCTGATTCACACGCTGCCAATGAGAGCGCATCCAGTTCAGCATCTACCTCCTCATTGGCCGAGGCCCCAGAGCCAGGTGAAATGTTCTCTTCAGTTTATAAAAGAACTTAATGATGTTACAAATGAGAGGAGGTCAGTTGGCCCATCTGGCCTTTTCAGTAGTTAGTAGTTAATTGACCCAAGCATCTCATCCAGCCTTTTTTAGAATGAAGGGAAAGTATGGGCTTCAATCACATGGCTGTGTAACTTGTTCTGTACTTCTGCAGCCTTTTGTGTAGACAAGTGCCTCCTGTTCTGGCTTTTAAAAGCACTCCCATTTAGTTTCCAGTTATGCCCTCTGATTTGAGTTTTAATGTTTTTTAATGTCTGCTAAGTTAACTTGATGCCTTTGAGGGCATGTGAATACTTGTGTCAGGTCCCCTCATGGTTGTTGCTGTGGAAGATTAAAGGGATTCAGCCTTTCAGCCTGTCAGAGCAGGACATTCTCTGAAGTCCCAGAAGGCAGGTTATGTTGGTTGTACTTCTGTGGACTGACTCCAGAGCAGTTACCTGTTTTCTGTAAGGTGGTGACTAGAAGTGTACACAGCATTCTGAATGAGGCCCTGCTAGTGCACTATACAGTTTAACAAACAATCCCTTGATTTGACTTCTCATTGTTTGACTATACCCTAACATTTGTTTGCCTTTTCTATGGTTTCTGCACATTGTCTGGAAGACGCAGGCTTGTGTCAGTGTGTTTTTCATGGGACCTGTGTGCCCAGTGTGGCCCTTAGTCTTGTCAGGTTAGGAATTACTTTAAACACAGACCCTGTATGACCTCGCAAAAGCCAGAACTGAAGTTCTGTTCCTATTGCTCCTCAATTCGAGAGGCACAGAGGAATGGTGGACAGGGCAGTTCATGCAGGGCTCCTGTTGACAGACTGTCCACTGTCATCAGACAGACTCTGTAGGGTCTCACCCCCTGTGTCCTGTGTCCCCTGTCTCACAGAGGAGACCCTCAGTCCTCTGTGCCCAGAGCCCGATCCCCTCGAGAGAAGCTTCTTCATCCGCATGAAGTCCACCCTCACTAAGCGCGGGCTTCACGTCAAGTCTTCAGGGTACAAGGTGGGACACGATACACTCCTCCCGATACCTCCAGACTCAGATACACTCCTCTCGATACCCCCAGACACCGATGCACTCTTGCCAATACCCCCACACACCAATACACCCCTCCCGATACCCCCAGACACTGATACACCCCTCTTGATACCCCCAGACACTGATACACCCCTCTTGATACCCCCAAACACCGATACACTCCTCCTGATACCTCCAGACTCAGATACACTCATCCTGATACCCCCAGACACCGATACACCCCTCCTGATACCCCCAGACACTAATACACTCCTCCTGATACCCCCAGACACGATACACTCCAATCACTCACACGCTCTCGGACACTGACACCCTGCACTCTGCCCTCCTCTGATGCATGTTGTTGCCAGGTGATCCACGTGACGGGGCGGCTCCACAGTAGGCCCGGCTCCTCCTCTCCGCGCACTCTGGGTCTGGTGGCCCTGGCTCACACGCTGCCGCCCTCCACGTTGAGCGAGGTGCGCATGGAGAGTCACATGTTTGTCTTCCGGGTCAACCTGGACCTGCAGGTCACCTACTGTGAGAACAGGTGGGTCTGCAGCCCTCGACGCCTCGTTTCAGCACCGGCCCTGACTGGGCCTCCAGCCTTTGATTTCTCAGAATCATGTTGTTTGAGATGAAATGTATGTCTGGATGAAAGCACGGCAGGAGCTGGTGGGCACCACTTTGACACGTACCACCACAGTCCAGTCAGAACAAGATGGTGCCAACATTGTCGATCATCATTTTATTACACCAAGGGTTGCAGGAGCATGGAACACACATTGCTGAAGCTGTTCCTCTGGCTTCTGAGAACTGCTGGCAGAGCACCTGCATAGATTAACTGCTCTCACTTGTAACTGTTAGATGATGTTCCAGCAGGCTGCAGCAGTTGAGAAGCTGTGTGTGTGTTCCTTAGCAAAGACTGACTGACTTGTATTAGTGCTGACGATGCTCTTCCCTGGTCGCATGCAGGATCTCAGACTACATGGACCTGAGTCCTGCGGAGGTGATTGGACACAGCTGCTACCGGTTTGTCCACGTGCAGGACCTGGATCGCCTCCGGCAGAGTCATGAGGATTGTAAGTGTGAGCCCTAGTGTCCAGGCGGTTGTGCACAACCACAATCGTGAGAGTGTGTGAGCGTGCGAGCGTGCGGTCACGCCTGGTCGAGAATCGTGAGTGTGTGTGTGACAGCAGTCACGACCTGGTCGAGGATCGTGAGTGTGTGTGCGAGGGTCCAGGCAGTCGCACCTGGTCGTGATCGAGTTGTAGCTGCTGCTCTGCCCTGAAGGGATCCTCTGTGGTTGGACCCCCAAGACCACTGTGGGAATCAGTGTGTCGTCCTGTCTCCTCCTGGTGCTGGCGGCGAACACGGTCAGCTCACTCAGGGGACCCAGGCCCACCTCCAGCCATTCTGTTGAGTGTCTCTTCTCAAACTTCACTGTCTCTCACTCTCTCTTGCACGCTCACTCTTTCTCTCTTTCTCTCTCTCACTCTCAGTGCTGCGGAAGGGACAGGTGGTGACTGGGTATTACCGGTGGCTTCAGCGTCGTGGTGGCTTCCTGTGGGTCCAGTCCTGCGCCACTGTGTCCATCAACATGAAGACGCCCCACGACCGAAACATCATCTGGGTCAACTATGTCCTGAGGTACTGCGTCCAGCACCCCGAACACTGGCTGGGGGAAAAGCTTTTAATATCTACACAAAGATCAAAAGCTCTAGACTCTAACCTCACACCTTCTTCTTTACCATGTCCTCCCATTGTGCATATCTTATGTGTTTGTTGTTGTTTTCATTTTGTAAAGCCACGTGTAAAGGTGCTTTATTAAATAAAGTTAATTATCATATTATTATAAAACCCCAGTTCCATCTGCGGGTCATGTTTTGACTCTTGAGAGAGTTATACCAGAGTGGCAGCTATTTAGTTGCTTTTTGAGTCACGGATCTGATGCAGCTGCTTCCTGAAAGAAGACTTGTTCCATGCTCCCGCAGCTCTTTGCATAAACAGGCCCTTTTCCTGCCATTCTCAAGTTTGAAAGCACTTTTATGTAGTTTTGCCTTGGTTTTACTTTCCTGAAGACGTTAAGGATTTGGAAAAACTGTCTCAGGTCTTCTCTGTCCAGAATAAAGGGTTTGGTTGCTTTAGCCTGTCAGTACAGGACAATCCCTTAATCCAGGAATGTTTGTGGTTGCTCTTCTGTAGATTGATTACAGAATAGCAGTATCTGTATCCTGGTGACTAAAATGGTTGACAATATTCCATATGAGGCTTTACTACAGCATTGTACAATGTAGAACGTGACATGCTTTGATTGGAAAATACTGTACGACTTTTGATTTTTGTCTATCTGCATGTCAAACCCTACACTTCTCTACCTGACATTTGATTTATCAGATGTCTTTTCCAGTTTTGGACTTTATGTGCTTGAATTTTGTCTGCTGCCACTCCAGCAATAGCGATAGCCTGTAATGTAGAATTGTATGCAGACTGGCCTAGTTTCTGAGAGCTGCCACACGCACCCTGGAGCCTGTTGTCAACGAAAGCGTCTCTTCCACAGCCGAGCGGAGCTCCCAGACACCCCCCTTGACATCCAGCAGCTGCCCGAGAGGCTGAGGCCAGAGAGAACGACCCCCCGGCAGCATCCCAAAGGTACAGCCTGCCAGAGCAGGACACACGCGCTCGCTCTCCTCTGTCGAGGGCGAGATGCCATTCTCTAGTCTGTCAGAGCAAAGGCTCTGCGGCGACATCCAGTGGCCAAGCTGTCAAACTGCAGGGGTCTGATTGTGTAAGGAGGTGTCTCCTGGCTCCTGGAGGAGGACTCCCTGCAGGGCTGTGTGCTGGCGGAGCTGGACTACTGCAGTGGATGAGAGACATGTTCTATGTTCCCAGGATCCCCTTCGCTCCAGCGGCCAGACTGCAGTGGCTCCGGGTCCGAGGCAAGGGAGACGTTCCTGTCAGACAGCCCGTCGGACGAAAGGAGGAAGAGGAGCCGGCGACACGCCTCTGGAGAACGGCCCCCAGAAGCGAGGAAGATGCAGCCGGACTTGTCTAGTGTGGAAAGTGACGCTGAGGATGATGTCCGGAGAGACTACAAGCGGCTCAAAGCTGAGGAAGGACAGTGTCCAGGAACGGGCGAGGAAGAGGAGGCAGGGCTGCCAAAGGGGTGCGTGGCCACCCGGCAGCCGAACGGCACAAGCCCTCCTCGCATCAAGACCGAGCGGGAGCCCCTGGCTGGGCCTCGGAGCCGCTCCCCAGCCCCCTCGCGGCCCTCACCGCCGGCAGGGCCTGCTGACAGGGGCTGCCCCCCGACCGGCGCCCTGTCCCCTGAGACCCCACCCCGGAGCCTCTTCACGCCTGCTTCCCCCGCCCTGTGCCCCCCGCCCGGGCCCGGCCGAGACCAGGAGGCTCTGCACAGACTGGCGCTGCCCCCCGCCCTCGGGGCGCAGGGCCCCCAGAGCCTGTTCGCCCCCAGCACCATCCGCTACGCCCCTGCCGAGGGGGTCGGCCTGGGGGCTCCCGCCCACCTCAAGGCGCCCCCCTCCCTCTTCCCTCTGCCCCCCTTCAGCAGCGGTTTCGGGGCACCTTGCTCCCCGTTCCCCCCCATCCTGCCCTTCTGCGTCAATGGGCTCCGAGGCACCGCTGCCAGGAAGGAGGAGGACTGAGCGGAGGAGGGCAGCGGGAGTGGTGCCCACAACGTGCCCTGGCCTGGCGGCGGTGTGGACACACGGGCTCCGGCCCGGACAGCGCTGCGATTGTTGGTTGTCCTGCGAGTGTGACGCCTGGTGCGGGGTCAGCCCCAGTGGGACTGTCCTGGGGTGTTGACCGAGTGCAGCCAGACTGAGGGTGTCCTTGAGGCATTCCCAGGAGAGCCGTGCAGCCGCGCTCTCGGGCTCAAGTGTGTGTCGATGGAGTCTGGTGCCAATAAAGGATGTTCTGTTTTGAGTCTGGGTCGGTGTCCTGCAGTCTCTCTTGGCAAGTGTGTCGGCGGGGGTGACCAGCGGCCGCCTGTGGGGCTCCTGTCTGCACACCTCCGCCTGAAGGCCTGGCCACGCTCTGAGGGAACCTGGGTTTGAAAGAGGAGACTGAGCTGTCCCTGGAGCGTTCGCTAGTTTGTTCCTGCTCCCGGCGCGGTGCCGGCTCGGCAAGCTGTGTAGAACTCATCCAGCCCATAGAGGGGAGGGAGACACACCTTTACTTTTGCCACCCCTGCCACCCTGGACCTCACTTACTGCACATTTCACACTCATAAAACACACGCTGACACCAGTGTCTTCAAGCCCTCGGCCATATTTATTGATCTCTGTGTCCCTCATCGTTTGTGCCAGCCTTTTCCCACAGCAAGGCGCCCTTCCGTTTCCCCAACACCGCACCTTCGCACCCCACTCCCTGTGCCAAAGAGGCCTTGTCTCCCCTGCTCTGCGCTCACACCGAGCCCGGCTCACGCGCAGTACGACAACGCCCGGACGGCAGGTTCCCCAGAGGGTTGCAGACCTGAGAAGGTCAACACCCACCCCCCTGAGACACCAGCCCCAGCGCTGACCCCCCCCGCGGCAGATGGCACAACAGAGAGGCGCACAGCGCCGGCACAGCCGAAGGCCTCCCCTGGCACCGCGCCTCAGCAGGGCTCCCCAGAGGCAGGGTCAGACAAGAGCACCTCGGCCCCGCCACAGGGGGGCGCTGTGACACGCCTAGGAAAGCCTGCCCTGATCAACATGCTCACGAGTGGAGGACGTGTCCTGCGCCCACATATCGCCCCTGCTCCTGTCCGCACACACGCCCGGGGGACAGGCACCAGTGTCCCCAGCAGAGTCATGCAAAGTGTCAACTGGGGGTGTTGCCAAACAGGCAGCTCACTTCCTTCCCCGGTCTCCAGGCTTCCCATCCTCCTCCGCGTGGTGATCTTTGCGTTGCCCACCCCTGCTCTCCTCGTCCTCCTCCTCGGCTTCGTCCTCGTGCACAATCTCTACTTCCAGCCGCCCGATATAGAGCGACACCGAGCACAGCCACAAGAGGGCGGCGCTGGACACCGCGGCGCTGTGCAGCAGGACGGCGGGCAGCGACAGCAGCATGGTCCTCCTCAGGGCAAACAGGTTCCCCACATAGGAGGCGCAGCCGAAGGACACGCACGCGCCGCCCAGGATGAAGAACCCTGCGGGGCAGAGAGGGGGGTCAGGCTGGAGGCGTCTCACACGCTCTGCGCTCCGTGCGCATGGCAGTCGCTCACACCCGCCGGGCCCTACCGTAGGCGGCCTCTCGGCCCACGTCGCTCTGCGCATAGGAGACGACCCCGATCCCCGTGGCCAGCAGGCCGTTCCGAAACCAAGCCAGGAAACCTGAAACAAAGGGGCTGTGCCATGACACCGGAACACAAAAATACACACGAAGCGCCTGGAGAGAGGCGCCTGGCTCGTCGTGCACTTTTGCCTGTAGCTCTTCGAGTCGATCGTCGCCTTCCCAGAGTCCCGCAAACTGAACAGGGATTTCTCAGCCCTGCAGCTGCTTACCTGCCAAAGGTCACAGTCCCCCAGGTGCAGCTTACCTGTCTCATGGGCCTTGCGCAGCATCTGCAGGAAACAGAGAGGTCACGTGACTTACGGCAGCACACTGCCCAGCCTCAGCCTCAGCCTGCACAGCAGGCCTGGACCTGGGCTTACTGTGCTCCCAAAACGCATGCAGGTGCTACTATCACATGCGCACCGCACGCCCAGATCTCCTTGGCAACACCCAGTAAGGGCAAAAGAGTGAGAGGAGGCAGCTGAGCCCGTCCTGCGGCTGAGAGGCTTGCTCCAAGCTCCTACAACTCGTAAATGAGTGCTTCCCGCTCTCGGTTTTCAATGTGCTTCTGCCTACTCTGTGCTCAGGCCCTTTCCGCTGCTTGGCTACTGACAGCTCAAACAGTCTTAACATTTGGATCTGGACCCGCGACCGTCTGGTAAAGACAAACACAATCCCTGTGAAACCAGCTGGGCTGGGGTGCTGAAATAGCCGACAAGCCAGAGTGTGGCACAGGGAGAAGGCAGAGAGCTCTCGCCTGCCGCCCACGCAGGAGGGCCACACGCGAACGGGCTGGTGACAGGCTCGGGGAGCGTTGCGTCACGGACAGAAGGGCCCAGAGCAGCTGCTGACGCTCGGGGAGCTCAGCCTGAATCTGCACAGAGCACGGGGCTAACACGGAAACACAACAGGGCAGTCAGGGCACCCCGAGTAGAGAGAGAGCGGGCAGAGCTCAGTGAAGCTCCCCCCTACAAACAGCACAGATCACGAAAGCCACCGCATTTGACAGTACTCCCTTTGTGCTGGTGAGAGTATCTACTCAACTGCTTTAGCTCCCAACATACAGAGCCTTATTTTTCGGGTCGTCACGTGACTGTGTACAACAAGCTTGAACTCTATTAACACCGTCTGAGCAGTTGAGGCGCTGAATTACTGGATGTGGGGATAACAATGTCTGCAGGAGATTTTGCTTTAAATACCACATTTTCTATGTGTTCGTGTGAGCAGTAAAATTAGTCTCCAATACCACACTGTAACCACAAAATGCTGTTTTAGCAACATTAATGGTTGAGCAGCATTATTATTAATTATTGAGCAAACATTAGCAAACAATTGCATTTTCTAAAAATAATTGTATTAATTAGCGTGTCACAATACTTCGTCAATATTTTTTAAAACTGAAGACTAGTGAGTTTATCGTGAGTCTTTTGTTAAATAAATAGGCAATTAAAGAACATTTAAAGTTTCAACTAGTCTTTATAGGAACGTACTTTAAACCAGCACAAACAGAGCACTAATACACTAACAAACACAATGTTTTGGCTGTGGAGCCGTCTTCAGGTGCCAACTTCTGGATGACAACAACATGACTTGTTCCAGTCCCCTGCTACCCTTGGTGTAGGAAAGGCCCTGCCCTTCTCCATTCCACACACACCCTGTTGGGTTTCCTGGTTTGTGCTGTGTGTAGGGGGGCAACTTCACAGAATGAGCGGGGGGTCCAGCCCCAAGCAGACTCCTCACTGTACTGTCAGCAGACGCGTCACGGCACTGGAAGCCATGGGGCTGAACACAAGCTGTCACTCCCTTGGTCCAACTGTGAGAGACCCCAAAACACAGCGCTACTGTCTCCGCACTGCTGGACCGCGACGCACATCCACTCCGGTGCGTCTCTGAACACCCGTGTCTGTCGGGGACACGGGCTCTAGAGCTCAGCTCTGCACAGCGAGGGCAGCACCTTGCCCACTAGGGGTGCTCTATGGAAGCGCCCCACTGCACCGGCGGCGCCTCAAAATCGTCTGACAACCCTGGGACCTGGATCTTCGCACAGACGGTTCCCACGGGAGACATAGTCCACCCCTGTGGAATTCTCCCGAGCCAGAACCACGGGCAAGTACGTGTCAAACCCACGACCGACGGCACTGCATTACATCAAGGGCTGTAGGAGTCGGCAACAAGCTGCCCGGCCGTCTGGCCTAGCCGGTCCCCGGAGCCGACACGCTGGGCTGCGTTAGCTGCTCCACCCCGAGCGGGACCTGCCGTCCCAGCGCCACACTCGCACCCGGGACAGCAGCGGCTCGGGCGCTGCCCGGGCCACACGGCGACACTCCGTACCCACGCGTCAGCCTTGTCCAGCTCCGTCAGCTGCGGGGGCTCCGGCCCACGGCTCTTCCCCCACGCCCCGCCGCTCTTCTCCGCGACTCGGCCTCGGGCGGTGCCGGCGACCCGCCTCGCTGCAGCTGCGGCCCGCAGGGCTCCGGGACGCCCGCACAGACAGCTGAAATAGGAAGCGAGCCGCGGCAGCCGCCTCCATCCCCAGCAGCTCGCAGGCGACATGGCCGACATCCAAAACACACGCAGCGCGCCTGCGCCTTGACCTCTGACCCGCCGATGCGCTGGCAAGGCGGAACGCGCCGTGACGCGCGCGCAGTGGAACGGCACTAGCGCCGCCACGAGGGCAGCGCGCTTCCCCGCCAGCAAGGCGCGTGGCGAGGAGGCTGCGTCTTCACACAACGTCAGCGCAACGTTGCAAATGTGTGCAGAACACTAGAAGCCATAAGACACCGCAAAGCCTAAAAAAATATCAAGTAAAATACACTCCCCCGGAAGCCCACAGATCAGCCGAAAAAGGCTCCACAGACCTTTTTTCTCTTTTCAGCATCGAACAAACCTAATAATTATTCGCGTCTCCTCCTTGCGTGTCTGTCGCTTGACCACCAGATGGAGACAAACCCTAAGGAAACAGACCCTGCTGGGCTTTGAGTCCTCCGGTGCGACAGCAGCCGGGTCACAGACCGCCGGACCCCTCCGACCCTCCCAGCCCGACAGGCTTGTCCAGCTGCTGGGTTATCCACTGCACCATGACAACAACACGCAAAGGAACAAGTAAAGGTTTATTTCAGGTGGGGAGCTGCGTCAGCATGCGTAGGCTGCAAAGGAACAAGTAAAGGTTTATTCCGTGCTGAAAAGAGAAGAAAACAACGTTTCGGCCGGGGAAAAAATAAAGAGACTATTTCAGCTGTGGGGTCTTTTTCTTGTGCCAACGTCTAGATGACAACACATGGCTTATTCCAGCCCCCTGCTACCCTTGATGTAGGTCTGCCCTTCTGCATTCCACACACTTGTTCCCACCTGTGTCCTGTGTCCCATGCTCCAGCAGTGTGCTTTGCGGATTCTTCAGGTGCTCTGTGAAAGTGCCACAGGGCCAGGTGTGTGGCCTGCTCCATGCACCTGCTCCTCTCTGTGTACACAGCAGCCGGCGGGTTTGGGGCACACTGCCAGCACTCGGGCCCCTTAACCAGCCTGCGCCAGGATTCCTGCACCCAGGACAGCGTGCCGGCCCCCTCTGGGGCACCGACGGAGAAGCAGAAGCTCCTGCCAGAAACCATTACAGTCAGTCCAGTCAGCTGCACGTCCACACAGTC